TGTGTGTGTGTGTGTGTGTGTGTGTGTGTGTGTGTGTGTGTGTGTGTATGGCTTAAACATGCACACAATGTATACACACACACACACATATATATATACACATACATACATACATATATACATGCATATACATACATGGTTTCACAGCAATGAAGTCTATAGTGTTAGAGTACTAACTACTCGGCTTGTGGCCTCAAGTTTTGGGTAGTTTTTTATTTTTATCTATTTTCTACTGTATATCCTCCATACGAAAATATGTAAGGATGTGGTGCTGGTAGATGCCTTTAACCCCAGCAGATCTCTTGAGTGTCAGGCCAGTTTGGTCTGCTTAGTGAGACCTTGTCTCAGACAACAAAAACCTCAGCCCATAAAGCATTTAGGAATTAAACTGGATAGTCCTTGTTTTTCACACTTGTCTTAGCCATCATGTTGCTTTTTTTTGCCTAGAACTTTTCCTAGACTCTCAGAGCATTCAGAAGAAAGGTCCTAACTCAGCCAGTGCTAACTGGGTCTTTCTGCCACTCTTCCATGTATCTCTGCCCTCACATGAGACTCGGCTTGCGTTCACTCTGCTCCAGGTGTCTGCTCTTACCATCTCCTGTAAATCCACACTGCTTTCAGTTCTTTCTAGTTGCTATTCTCATGTGTCTCTTTCCTCAAACTAAGTCTCTCAATGAAACCTTCCCTGGAAAACTTGTATAAATTTTATTATTGTTCCTTGACAAAAATCCACATGCATACACACAATCATAAACATACACTTAGAAAGAAAAACAACCACAACCCTAGGTGTCCATACATTGGCTTGTTACTTTTCCTTGAGATACTGGCTGCTTCTGTCTAAAGGTAACCCTACCACTGGACCCAGGTTCTCTCCTACCTACTCTCTATAATATGAAGCATTCTTCTCATTAGCATTTTCTTAATTAGCTTAAAATGCTGGCTTTTTAATTACTCAGAAATGTTTGGGTCAAAGTGGAGTTGGAGCATGTCTTAACGTGTCTGAATTAGTAGTGAATAGATATTAGAAGCAAAGGATGGGGAGATGAGAGACTGGTTTGGTAGACTTTTGTCCTTGTTATTACTGGAGTTTCTAGGCCACCACATGGGGAGGGAGGAGCAAAGCTTAGTGGTCTCCCCAAAGTGGAAAATAGACCCAGGAATCTGGTGTAGCTGGAGTCTGTTTTTAGGATGCAAGACACAATTTGCCAGGAGAAAATACAGAG